GTGGTGACCACAATTATATTCATTTTTACCTTTGAGGGAACAGGCACAGAGAACTAGCCGCTTCCCAAAGGCACACAGCTAATAAAGATTGGCAGCAAAAGGAGATGTTTATTTTCAAACCTATGCTTTTAAACAAAAACAAAATCCCCCAAACACCTATATTACATTGCTACTCAAAAGAAATGAGTTCAGAAGATAGCTGAGGTGGAACGCAGCAGGAGGATGTTTTGCACATTTGGCCTGTGGGAACACTTTTACTGTTTGTGAAAGCAACGCATTGGTGAAATGAGAACCAGATTGCAGAAAGTGAAAGTATCAAAAGAGGAGAACAACAGAGAAAACCAGAGATGGTGGGCGCAGGCCACGTCTGTATAAAATGCTGGAAGGAAAGAGGCATAGCAGGGGCTGGGGTTGTGGCTGGGGTAGAGCACTCGCCTAGCATGTGTGAGGCCCTGGGTTTGATCTTCAGCACCACATAAAAATAAATAAATAAAGTAAAGGTATTGTGTCCAACTACAACTCAAAAATAAATATTAAAAAAAAGGCATAGCAAACTATCAGTAACTATGTAAGTTAAGTTTTCTTAATGCATTTTTGGCATTATCTAGAAGGATAGGCTACATGATGGTCTTAGCAAGGGAACGTTCATTCTCTAAGAGGGCTAAGCTCTAATTTTTCAACTGTTGTTTTTAAAAATCATTCCCCTGTATAGAATAATTCCCAAGAATTTAGAAAGTGAGTGAACTAAACTAACCTTGACTTTTGGGCACATAATCTGTTGGACTTGGTCATAGGGCCTCCCATTATGTGTTTTCTTTAAAGTCATTCTGTTAATGACAGCAGATGACAGCATCAATACTTTCATTGGAGAAGCTAACATTTCTTTTTAAAGAAACTACATTTCTTTTGATGTCTGACAACCCAAAGGGATCATGCAGGATTTTTTTTTTCTTTTTTTAATGAAGAAATAAAGGAAGGCATCACTTAATTTTGGTTTTGTGGGGAAAAATAAATTCCCTGCTGCTTTTGAGGGAGTGTTTCTGGTTGATATTCCCAGAGCTAACTGAGTTTTCAGTAATTTGCTATTAGTACTGACTATGCTTGCTGAAGATTTGGCTAATGAATATTTTATAAAGCAGGAAGAAGATGCTAAGTCTCCATTTGGATGACTGCCAAGTCCTAAACCTCTTACCTTGATGTGGCTTCTCAGCTCTAGTCTTGCTGTTTCTGTTGCCCGAGGCTGTCTCTATCTAATGTTCCACTGTTAACTGAAACTCCCAGTGCCAAATAAAACTTGGTATTTTGTTTCTCAAACCCTTTCTGTTGATATCCCTATTTTTGCTAACAGAATCATAATTCTAATTACTTAGATTTAAACTTTCAATCACAGGAGCTACTATTCATCAGGGGCTATATCTCAGGGATTATGCTGTTGAATTTAGCAAATATGAATTTCATCTACCAAAATCCTGTGTGGTAGGCACCAACATTATTATTACTTTACTACAGGGAAGTTGCAGCTTGGTGAGATCAGTGATTTATTTAATTTTACTTAAAAAGTGCCTGGAATGGCAGGATTTGGTCTGAAGTCTGAAAACACCCAGAGCTTGAAACCTTAGGCCATCTCTCCAGGCCGGAGTGCCTTAGATGTTGTCCATGTAACGTCGCACACAACTGTTGTCTCCTGTTTTCAATGCCATTGCCTCGATCAGATTTTCATCACCTCTCATCTCTCCTACATGTTCTTTTTTTCCTGATCTTTTCCACCATCTGCTCACAGTTGCTTCACCTAAACTGCTCTACTGAAAAGCCTTTGATGAATCCCCTTGGTCTGAGTGTCACTGCCTTACCCAGTCACCTTCCAGTCTTACCACCTTCTAACCAACTTACCTTCACAAATGCTGTGTTTGATCCAGTTTATACTCCTTGCTGTACTCCTGTGTCTGTTGGACTTCTACTTACCCCCTTCATAGTCTAGATGAAGTTGTTACTCCCCTTCATGAAGCTGTCCATAAATTCTCTAATCAGACAAAAGCAGCCTGAACTTTTCCTGTGACAACAAATTCTGCCCTATACTGTGGTCACCTGTGTACTTCTGTTATTCTTTTTTTTTTTTAATTAGTTGTTCCTGACAATACAATGATCTTGACATATCATACATTTGATTCAAATGGGGTACGAATTCTCATTTTTCCAAGTGTAGAGGTTGCAGAATCACATTGGTTATACGGCCACGAATATACATACAGCAATACTAGTGTCTATTTTATTCTGCTGCCCTTCCTATCCCCCCTCCCCTCCACTCCCCTCCCATCACCTCTCTCTACCCAATTTAATGTGACACATTTCTCTCTCTCTTTTTTTTCTTCCCCCTCACATCATCATATATGTATTTTGTATAATGATGAGGGTCTCCTTCCATCTGTTATTCTGATGGGATTCGATCGCGTTCCTCAAAGACTGAACTGTGCTTTGCTGTTTTCTGTGAAGCTTGGAGTTGGGCAACTCTGTGCCACGTACTTAAGGGTAAGGATGAATTAGATTTTATTTGTAAGGTGTTGTCAGGATATGTGGTCCATGTACTCAATTATTTTGACCTAGTATGGGGAAACAAAACTAATATTCAAAAAATTAACTGAGGAACAAGCAGGAGTTCAACTATGAGAGTCATCAGAGAAGAGAGAGCAGGAGGATGCGACGGGGGGAGAAGGACTTGGAGAGAAGGAGAGACCTGAGGCTGACTCAGAAAAGTAAAGAAAGGTGCTGACAGGGAGTGGGGAGGCGTGTTCTGAGGTGAGAAGAGCATAAGTGAATGTTCTGAGGTGAGGAGGGACACAGCTGGTCCAGGAAGAAGAATGGCACACAGGAAGCCTAGGGAAATGCCAGGGATGTTAAGCGTTTTTTAGAGTAAAATAACTCCTGCAAATTAACAGTATCATTTCTTCAAAAATTTCTTACCCCAAGGCTTTGTGTGGTAACTGGCACTCTCCTAAATTAGTCACAATAAATTGGTTTTTACTGTATATTCTTCTACTGCTATATAATTGCTAGAATTCATCTCTGAATTCATCTGAATTATAGTAGTACATGGCAATGTGATGAGGAACTGCTTCTTTTGTTTTTTTACCTGTTACCATGTTTCAAGGCTTTGATGCCGCTAAAACTTAGGATAAATGCTGATAAATTATTTCATGGATTAGAATTTAGCACTCTGAAAAAAAATACTTTAAAAAAAATTTTTACAATTGGCTTTCTATTTACTACAAATGTTTCTTCATTCTGCTTTATTCATGCAAAATTGTTGTGAGATTATCCCTGCCATTGGTCCAAGAAGGAAGTTGTTCACAAATGTGTAATGAAAACACAAAGCTCATCTACTTACAACATTTATAATGTAATCCAGATCCAAAATCGACCTGTGGAGACGGGACAAATATTGGTTGTGATAAATTATCACACACACATATTCCCATGAAAGCACTAACAGAAAAAAACTGAAAATTGGGGCTGGGGTTGTGGCTCAGTGGTAAAATGCTTGCCTAGCATGTGTGAGGCACTGGGTTCAATTCTCAGCACCGCATATAAATAAATGAATAAAATAAAGGTCCATCAACAGCTAAAAAATTTTTTTGAAAAAACCCTGAAAATTGACAAATTCACTTTGAAAAGTCATTTGGTAAGCCAGAAAAAGGAGAAGGAAAGGGATTTAAAAGGCAGGCATTTTTTACTACATTTTAGGGAAGAGTAAGACACCCAAACATTTAAAAGTAGAAAGCAATGACTGGTTTTTCCATTTGTTAAGTTCTTTTTTGATATGAATTACACATCATTTTTTCCTTGGGACTATAACATTGCTAATTTTCTCCATATGTGAACGATTTGTCTTTGACCTTTAACAAATATCCTCTAGGCAGTCGACTTACCATCCAGGAACAACACAGCATCGTTTTACATGCACACAAAGGCCTGAAAGCTCCATAAAAATAAATGATCCATGGTATAAGATACATTAACTAGCAGAATAATAAGCTATTTCAGCCCTGTAAATTTTAATGCCCATCCATTCAAAACCACACTGGGTCACTTTAGTATTAAATTCAGAGGAACAAAATGGTAAGTATACATGTTTTATTTGTTAAGCTGCCAGCTATACATTTTGTGTAAAATTTCATGAGTGGGGGGAGAACCTATTCAGAGACACATCAGGCAGTGTATATTTAAAAGTAGTGTCTCTTTCTAATATGTGATTTTATGTGTTACAGATACATTTACTATTAAGCATCATGTATATTTAATATAATGTCTACTTCAGTGTCCTAAAAAGCCTTTGTTCAGTTATAGTTTCCATTATCGGAGAGCCAATGTACGGTCCTTCCACAATTTTGTAAAGTGCATGCAGCCCACAAGAGCTTCTAGTTTTAGCTTGAGGCCCCATGGGACCATGGTAATTGTTATGAAGTCATTAATTCTACCTCAGCAGTTTCAACTGTCAGGTACATGTAACAATAATTGCAGTTAATGAATGCTGCTCAATTTATTAAGTGCAAAATGAAAACCAGTATTCCTTTATAATGCAGCACTAAGGCATATTAACATTTATTCATTTGTGTACACCATGTTGACTATTCCACTATCTTCTGTTGGCCAGGATATATAGTCATATATTGCCAAAAATTCTCTTCATACAAAAGGATTGCAGGAAATTCTAACTTTCTAGCTAAAGGATAATTAAAATAGTTACTATCCAAAGTTTTTTTTTAATAAGAATCTATGTTTATGAAAAACAATCCAACAGAACCAAGACTTAGTTCCTGCTGTGGATAAACAAGTCTCTCTCATACACCCTCCCTGACCCTGATCCTTACAATGTGAAAAGGTTCAAAAGCTTCCAGTTGTTTGAAGTGTTAGTCTTAAAATTTTTTGACAGTAACACTTTGTGTGTGCACAGATACAGCCCATTTCATGATTTGAAAAGAAAAATCAACATTTCTCATTTTCAATCACTCAAAGTAAACTGCATAGACATTTGCAAGAGCAAAGAGAGAAGAATTTCTGAAAACATAGGATGAAACTGTATCACTTTTAGGATCCCAGAGGCATCTGCTTCCAATAAGTATGCTCTGACCATTCAGTTGTCCAATGTGAATCATTACAATTAGTTTGTACCGTGGAATCATCAATTCCTTGACCCGGGCTTTAATAACCTAGAAATTTAAAAAAAGGAGGAGTTCCTCATTTAGCCACATATTGAAACTCAGAGATCTCAATCTTTGTTATACACATAGTGGATTTAAAAAAACAGTGTGATGCATCGTAGATGCTTTCCATAGTGGTTGTAGAACTGAAGCTATGATTTCCTTTAGAACTGTCCTCATGTGATGGGATGTCCAGGGGAAAAATCATAACATCAGCAATAAATCTACATTTTCTAAGGCACATGGAAAAACTCATTCAGGGCACATTGCAATTTAATGCTGTGTTCTTGAAAACCTAAATTAAGGCAGCATCCCTTCAAGAGTGTTAGCACTAGGCTAGTCTAACTAGAGTCACACTGTCTTGAAGGTCTGACGAGGAGCCATTCTCTGCAATCTCTTGTAACTTGAGCAGTCACAAAGGTTTATTAAATAGTTCACTAAAAACACAAAGCAGAGGAAACCATGCTAAAATGATAGTAATTTAGTTGATAAAACTAGAAAGGATTTGGGGATCCATTGTCTATATTTAATGGCTCTTAAAAAAGCTGCTATGGTGAAAAGAAAATGATGACCAAAACACTATCTTTTACAATAAAAATTTTTAAAGTGAAGTAGTTTTTATATATTTTTGTTCAAAATACATTGTTTTTTACCTTATTATTGCTTTTAATTTTATTCTTTTTTTTTTTAGTCATACATGACAAAATACATTGTTTTAATGAGGGGAGAAAGGGAACTTAGGATTGGGCAAAAGGGAGTGAGGAGAGGGGAGGGGGTAGTGGGGTGGTGGGAAAGATGGTGGAATGAGACAGACATCATTACCCTAAGTATATATACGATTATATGAATGTGACTCTACATCGAGTACAACCAGAGAAATGCAAGTCTGTGCTCCATTTTTATACAATGAATCAAAATGCACTCCGCGATCATGTATAACTAATTAGAAGAAATAAAAAACCACATTGTTTTAGACAAATGCTTGTTATACAACACATATATGGCGTATGACATAATAAATAGTTTGATAAAATATAATTTTTTAACTACTATTGAATGGTGAATTTCCTTCATTAAAAGTAGAAGGTGTGTTATGCTTTCAGCAAATAGCTAACCACTTGGGCAAATCACACATGTACCTCTGAAATTGTTTTAGTTATCTGTCTGCAGAACTCTGGTTCATACTCTTCTTTTTGCAGATAGTCAGTCAACACATCTTGCAAGATATGATTAACAGTGACCACAGGAAAATGTTTGGTAGGACCTGAAAATACACATGGAAGTTCTTTGTAAGAAGTAATTTAAAATCATATCCTCCAGCCCCGTAGGTTAATCAGAGAACACTGAAACATGGAGAGGCCTTTACTAGTCTGGTGGCCTCTATATAATAAGGAAGAAAGAGGTCCTAATGAGGTGTCCAGTTAAGTTTTTCTGGGGGAAGAAAAGAAGGCAATACATCAGACTATGTACAGAGTGTGATTAACACTGTTTGACTTTGCAGATCTTTCTTCCTAGTTCCCATGCTGGTGACTTAACTTCAGTGTCAACATATTTCCAGTTGGCTCCCCAGCTCCTACATCCTCTAATTTACCTACCATATTGCAATGAGAACAATTGCTTGAAACCCTGGACCCTGAAGTGACTTTTCCCTCAACAAGTTCTACGGTTTGGCTCCTAACCAACCTACGGTCTCTGCTTCCCCTGCCATAGCTCCCATACTCCCATAGCTGCTTCGGCTCCTGGAGCCCACCTGTCTTTTAAAGGATACTCACGTGTCTTTTTCTTGCACTTACTTTCAAGTGGAGCACCACTCCCCATCTGTGCATCTGAGAAATATCCACTCATATTTCAAGTCCAGCTCAGATGTCTTCTTCAGATAGACTTGAACTTCCCCTCAGGTGCAATTCATCCCTCAGCTCTCCCTAATTCCCGCACACTGGTCCCTGCTGCTATACTGGCTCATAATCCACTTGATAATAGCTAAGGCAAACCCGAGTTTCTCTCCAGTGAAATGGTAAGCAAGATCGGATTTTATCCTTTTTAAAGTCTAAGTCAGTGCTAAGCACATAAATATTTAATGTATGATATCTGAATTTAAATAGAATTAAACACTTTATAGATAATAATCATCACACAAATAATGGCTACTTTTTTTTGCTGGTCATTTTCTATGTATCAAGCACCATGATAAGCACTTTACTTTTGTTTATATAATTGTTTATACATCTGAGGTGAATCTCCCTTGTTATCTCCAATACACAGGTCTAAGTACATTTCATTAACCTGTCTAGATCACACAGTGGCAGAGCTGGGATGGACAGGTTTGTCTAATACTAGAGTTTATATTTTCAACCACATTTAGTTCACATTCAGGTCATAATTTCACACGAATTTGTTTTATCCTGCATCCCTGGAATATTAGCCTTATGACCCCTCTGGTCATCTGCTCATGTCATGATATAACGTGGCAACTGTGTCAGGGCTTGACATCTACACTCTGAGTCACTGCTGAATTGATAAAGATGAAGGAATGAGACTGGGAAATCCAATTCTCTTTTAGAAATCATCAGTATCTATTAATAAGTTTAGTTTTAATGCCTGTATCTGTCAGGGTCTAAGTAAACATGGCAAACTGAAGTTAGGAAAATCCAGAATGATTTAATCAAGGGTCTGACTGGGTCAGAGGAAATCCTAAGGGATAGTGTGCTGGGAGCCATTAGCCAAGTAGGTATGACAATTTCCTTGCCAGCGTACCCCATGTTGCTTAGTGGAAGGACTCATGGAAATAGGACATTTTGCAGTGACATTGCATGTAGGTGACCTTGCTCAAGGACCAGGGCGGATTAGGGTGTTCCCGGTTTAGTATAATCGGGTTTAGGGCGTTCCCGGTTTAGGTTCCAGGTTTAAGGTTTAAGATTATTCCTGCTGGGAATAGGGCGTATCCTGCTGCCTGAGTTCCCCTTGAGTTCTCACGGGATTCAGACAGTATTTTTTGGGAGACAGAAGCCCAGTGGGGTGGATTTGGGCAGAGAACGTGGATTTCCCCAGAACGTGATTGTAGACGGCTGGTGTGAGTTCGGGAATAAAGAGTTGCTGTTTGAATCTACAAGCTGTGTGGTGGCTCGTGATTCTGTGCCCAGCTAGACTGCGGCAATAGTGCAGTCCTCATGGCCAGTGGAAGTGAGTATGTCACCCTCACCCAACCCTTGGCTCAAGGAATCCGGGAAGGCAACTCTTAATCCCAGAACAGTTGTGTGGAGATGGCTCCCTTGTGAGCAGCTATCGTCCTTTGGCTGAGATGAGCCCATGGGCAAGGATCCAGGAAAGTGAATTCCCAGGCTGCACAGTCTTCCCTTCTATCTTCCTGCTGAAGTTTCTTAGGCTGAACTTAACAGAAGGGTGTAGTTTGTGACCATAGGCTAGTCACCTGAGGATCCAAAAGTAGTATTTTCACTTGGATAATATAGAAATTGCTCACTTCAATTTAAATCACGGTGGGAAGTAAGTCTACACATGTGATACGATGACTCTGAGAACTAACCACTATTAAAACTAACCATTATTCAGCAGAAATCTTTCTTCTATGGAACAGACATGAGATTATCAATCTGTGAATGGCTTGCTCCTGCTGCTTGGGGTCAGAGATAGAGCGACACATGTAAGTGCTCCTGTAAACTAGTTCCAATTCATACAGTTCTGTTACTTTCCTGTGGACCTTATAGAAAATTTCCATTTGAATATTCTTGGCCATCGTCATTCACATGGAACTTAGTTCTGCCTGGCATTGTATCTACTTACAGGCATGATTTCCTTTAGAAAATGGCAAATTCCTTGAGTGCAGGTATTTTGTCTGCCTAGTGCTCCTCTCTTCCTTCTGGAAACAGTATCTTCCCTTCTGGGAACTGATCTCTTCATTCTCCACTCATGTGGCTCTTTAGGATCTACCTCTCACCTTCCATAAGCTCAAGTTCTGAGCATTGTTGATTGACTCACAGGTGACACTGCCCTGAGACAGGCCAATTAGAGTCCTTTCTAATTAGACACTCTTATTTTAAACTGGAACTAGGAAAAAAAAAAGAGTCAAACTCTTTCTTTAGCAGAAGACTTATGAATCTTAGGAACTGCCAAAGGCCATATTTTTTTTCATGGTAGAAAGGAAGCCTGCACACAGGTTAGCACTGGAAAGAGAATCTGGGTGACACTTGAGTCCCTGTTCCCATTGTCCAGCTGTACCAATGTTCTTTCCATACTTTGCTCATTTTTCCCCCCAATCCTATTAACAAGCTTCTATTTTGAAAACATTTTGAAATATAGAAATAAAAATTTCTTTTCTCATTTCATTGTGGCCTTTCCCTACACATCCAGCATCATCCATTGCTTAGATTGGGATGCTGAGATAGAGAGATAGAGATAGAGATAGATAGAAAGAAAGAAAGATAAAGGAGTCAATGTTTGATTTTCAAATTAAGCTGCTCTGAAGTCACTTTCAGAATTGACTAGCTTTTCTTCTTCTTTTTTTAAGGTAGCTTTTTACCCCAACTGTTTTAGAAATTTAAAGGCAAAGATGTGAAGAAATCATGACCAAATAAAATTAAAAATAGATTTAAAAGAGGACAGCTAAAGTTAAGATCACTTAATATATCCATGCCCAATTCTAAGCTGGGGTAATGAGAATCACAACATATTAATTTTTGTTAGGATTAAATGAGTTAAATATTTACAATGTTTAGAACAGTTGTACCACATAATGAAACACTCATTAGATATTTATTTTATTGGTGTTTTGCTGTTACTGTGGTTATGGTCGTCTGAAATAAGCGGTGGGAGAGGATGCATCTTGCTGAGAAGACAGCAGGATGGGAGAGGAGATAAGTAAGAAGACAGTAAGGCCCCCAGGGTTGGGAAGGATCCATGGGGTGGCACAGAGTCAATGCTGAGAGATTGACAAGTTCTGCCCAAGAAAATCTGACACCAGAGACAGCACTGCACCAAAACTGAGCTCAGGTGATCTCTGTCTCTCCTCTCAGTACGTAGGTTCTACTTTCTATTATGCTGCTTCATTCTCAGGCAGGCTGTCTCAGCGTGATTGCAAAGATGGCTAACAAAAGCCCTCATGCTTATAAACAACGTTTTTAAAGAATCAGGCACCACTTTAATCATAACTCCAGAAAAAGTCTCATGGAACACTTAATCTATAATCAATAGGAAGCTACATTGAATATCACAGGAGGCCTTTATTCTTAGAGATTATGGTATGTTTCTGGAGTCTGACACTTTTAGGAGCAATAGAAACCAATAGAGAAGCAATTCAAATAGATTAACTCATTTGATTCTCATAGACTATTATCCTTATTTACATATGAAGAAACTTAAGATTCAAGGATGTTAAACACTTGACTCAAATATCATTTGCCTAGAATTTATCAAAACTAGAATTCAAATTTAGATGTATCAGATCCCAAGCCTGTGTGTTCTTCTGTACTCTTGTTTAGTAATTAGTGAAAAAATGCAAATTATGTTTACTTTAAAAAAAAAAACTTTCTCCATTTCTTCTCCTACTTTCATGAATTACACTCACGTTGCACCTCAATTTTGGTAACTGTAATTGTTCAAAGGGAGGACAAACCTACTATACACTTAAGATGTGTTTAGGTGATGCTAACGTCATTGGCTAAAATAAAAATTTAAACATGATAGAGCTGGTAGCTGACTGATTTCCATCCCCACTCTTCTAGCCAGTATTACATTGTGCAGATATGAGAAAATTTTACTAAAGGCTCACAGAGTACCTTTCTCATGCAAAATAAGCCCAGAAATAAGTAGAAGTGGAAATACAGTTTTGATTAAAATGGCTATCTGAATGCTTTAAAAAAGTGGATTGTGGAATATAAAGAGACTTTAATCATAAATAAATAATTCACACAGACTTTTATAAGAAAATATGGAAATATTTTATCTGTACTAAGCTTTTCCTGAAATTACTTTTCTAACTTGGTCCAACACCCAGTACTAAAACTGATAAGATAATTTAGTTTGTCTATTTAAAGAAATACGTTGTGAAAATGTAGCCTTACAAAGAAGAAACACAGGAATTCACATTTCAACTGCCTTATCTTTTTGAAATCTGATTCAAAGCTTTTCAGTGGGTGTAGCTCAAGGGTATAGGCCCCCAGTGCTTAAGAAGTTTGGGTTATAAGAGGGGAAAAATCCTGATCCAAACTTTTCTCGCCAAACTGAAAAGTCTAAGGTAGCCAACTGGATTTAGGATTCAAATATGGCATCAGGATTCAGTTGTTCTCTCTCAGTTTCATGTGGGGTTCCATGTGAGGGCAAGAGGGTAGAAAATGCCACAGACCCTACATTTGTTTGGATTCCATGGCTTTATCTGCTTCTCTAACAGTTAAAACAATATTTCCTGAATTTAATCTCAGAAGTTTTTATTGGATTGACCAGGGTTACATGCCATCCAGAATCAGTTACTGAGCCATCTATGAAGCCAGCGTTAGTCACAGCAGAATTGAGTGGACAAAATGTGGTAATGGTGGTGGTTGTGGAACATCCGCAAGGAAAATTGGGTATTGTCAACAGAAAGAGTATAAAAGTGTATTGATGGCAGCAATATTAGCTAGTGGAAACCTAGTCAACTGACTAATTATGAAGCCTTATAATCCATGCAGTTTTAGAGATTACTGTTGAAAACTGCATACAGGGTCTAGTAGGATGCACTGGTAGTTTATAATTTTCTTGGGGTTAACTGGTCACAGATGGAATTACCCTGGCTCATGGGGCCTTTCTTTTCTTTTCTTTTTTTTCCTCTTGGGAAGTCTCTGTGGAATTTCTACAGAGCAGTAATTACACATAAATTCAGATAATCGTGGGCAGGTACATATTTAGAGAAAACAAGTAGGTCTATGAGAAACATGAATGGGAAAATATATTTGCTATGGGCTCCACTTGGGAGTATAGGGGCAGGTGCAAAGATCTTTGTTTTCAAAGACCTGAAACCTCTGTGGTAACAGATAAACATCTCTGTCAACAGGGGACCACAAATTATTTGCTTCTGCCTTGAAGATTTTTCCTCCACCCATCAACAGTACTGGTTGGTTTTGTTGGATAAAAAACATCAACACATATATCTTTCACTTAACTTGTGTGTGTGTGTGTTTGTGTGTGTGTAAAATGTATATAATAACTCCATCCAGAAAATCTTAATTCAGTTATGTAAAACACACATCAATGCCTCCCAGTGAATTACTTTGTATTTAGGAAACACTGGTAAAGAAAAGCAGGCAATAGATGATGTTCCCATTTTGCAGAGGAAGAAACTAAGGCAGCATCAAATTAATCAACTAAGGTTCTTATGCTAGGAATGACAGGCTATCAGATATCATTTTAAGTAAACATCAGTTATCATAAGTTTATAAGAGGGATGAGTGATTAAGTAACACACCCAACTGATAGGTGTTCTCCATCTGGACTGCAAGGCGAGAGACCTCGTCACGTTGGCCTGGTTCATCCATATAAGACACGGTACTCATAGAGCTAAAAGCAAGGGAGAAAATACACTTTAACCACTCTTATTATAATAATTTAAAAAACCCATACTATTGCTTTAAGCTAATATATTTACAGAGGTAAAATCTTCTCTATGGAAATTTCAAGTAAGTCTTATATAAATATTCCAGTGACCTATTTAAAGTCTAAAATATGTTAGAGATGGAAACAACTGAGATGACGAGAAGTTAGTTGGAGCAAGTATCAGTGAGTGGTTGAAGGCTGGTGGAGTTACCCAGGTCATCTGGCCATCCAGAAAGTGCCCTTGGGTTGCTGTATGTCTATAGTGTGACAGAGTGCCTGCTTCAAAAGCCACTGCCAATTGCATCTCTAACACAGATGCAAAAATATTCCTCAAAGTAGACAAAGCTCACAAGGGACTGGTGATATATAAGGGAGCTTAAAATGTTGGGAAACAAATCTGTGTATACATGGGGTATTATAAAAAGCTCACTATTGTACGTTCCTACCAAATCCCTTTAGTATAAAGGAGAAAAATGAGAAACTTATCTACGTGGTGAAAGAAACCACAATTCACCCAAACTATTCTAAGTCAATAAGCATCAATCACCCTTTTCAACAATAAGAAAGAGTTTGGGCTTGGTTACCAAGGCAACCTGAGCTTATCCAGGTGCTAAATAGGAGACACAAGCAAAGGGGAGCCCCCACTGTCCCTCCAGCACTACTTAATTCAGTTTAGCACAGATGAAATTCAACTGCGAACTCTCTACCCCCAATTTCCTCCACCTGTGAACGTGGAAGTTGAGACAGATGTCATTTCAAAGGAGATGCTGGAATAGCATGTGTAAACAGAGTGACCACTTTTCTAAATAGGCTTTTTTTTTTTTTGCTTTAATTAAATGAGAACGAGATATCTGTTCTTAACCCTTTGGGGGTTTCCTCTGTAAGGAGTTGAAATACTTAATTCTCAGCTCTGTGGAATTAATGAACTTCTTGCAAATTGATATTTTTAAGGACACCATGGATAGTTTACCTGAAAAATCCTTTAATACAATACAATTTACAGAATAAATTAAGGTTTACCCAACCAGTCCAAGAAAGGGATGCAGGAAATACTGGCTTCTTTTTCCCCACGTGGTGGGTTTCTGGATTAGTGATTTTCTCTTCTTTTTTATAACACCTGTGTGCCTCAGTTTTCTGCTGCCCTTTGAAGTAGCAAGCAGCCTAATTGGCTCTAGCGGCCGCAGGTGTTGTGGGTAGTATCAAAGATGAACGTTTCTGCTTTGAAAACCCCATGTTGTATAAGCCCCTCTATTCTGAGATCACTCAGTGCACCCCAGAATGGTAGGTGCTTTCAGCTTTGCAAAACATTTACCATCAGTTATCTCACTTTAAAACCTTCACAATATCCTGTAACATAAGCAAAGGAGTCATTATTCTACCCATTTCAGAGATAAAGGAAATGAAGCAAAGGGTTTAATGTCGTACATGTTGGGAAGAAGACAGATTTCAAATATTGAGCTCCCTATTGAGTTCCCAGTGACAAAGTCTCACATATGATGATATCTGACGGAATGAAAATAACTACTTGACATAATCAATTACTGTAATTAAAATTTATATGCACGGACTTCAGAAGGTTTTGATAAAAACTCTATTTCTTTTCTACTAAATACCATACTAAAAATTCAGAGACAGTGAAGTAGAGTTGGTACAACGCTCAAACTAGCTGGGGTGAATAGTCTAAGACTAAAACTAAGGCAAATAAGAATTTTTATAAACAATCCTCACTATTGCTTTATTCAGACTTACTGAAGATTAATAATCATGTACTTCATAGTATCATTGCTATGAAATTAGTGTCATAAGGGCAGCTTTAAAAAACTCTAATGGTAAAAAATTGGCATGCAAATAGAAAGTTTTACAGATTGGCTTTTTATGAATTTTTGAAGACGATTTCATTCAGTACCTTTTTATTTCCACAGTAGTCACATAAACAATGTATACTTGTAAAAAATTGAAAGCACATAGAAAATTACAAAGAAAGAAAATTATACAAAAATGACAAACCTCAGTGGTTACCTAACCACTATCCACATTAAAAATTCTTTTCAGTGATACATCTTGCATATGGAATTGTAGCATAGCTGCTGGTGTTATTTTAGCTTTCCATTTGAAACTGTATCATGGATAACTTTCCATGTCAACAAAGAGTAGTGTGTATCAATATTTTAAATATCAAGACAGCACTTACCATATGAATATTCTGCATTTTGTTAACCATTTATTCACTGAACCTTTTAAGTTGTTTCCAATATTCCATTATCATAAATAAAATTGTAATAAGCATTGTGGCATGGACAGCCATTTTCTTTCCAATGTTGTTCTCTCCTTCTTTGGTAACAGAACCCTAAGTTTGTGAGAATATTTCTGTTTAAATTAAAGGCAAATTCTTAGTCTCTTTTTCTTATTGTAGTTACATGGCTTGAACTAATGAGATGCAAATGAAACTGCAGAGATTTTGAGAAAGCTTCCTCAAAAACAAAACAAATTGAATTTAACCAACAGAAACCTGTTTTTCCCCTTCTTGGTTAGTGGAATATGGATATGATGGTAGGAGCTCAGCAGCTTCTTGGTCCTTGAGATGACCTGTGGATCATATAGATCAGAATGACCAAAGCCCAGTTCCCTGAATTGCCTCCCTCTAGGCTTCTTTTATGTAAGAGAAAAATAAATTCCTATTTTATTTAAACTACTGCTTGTTTTTAAAATAAATAATTAAGTTCATAACCAACTTGAATCTAATGTATGAAATATGATATGTCAAGAGCTTTATAATGTTTTGAACAACCAATAAAAAAATAAATTAAAAAATAAATAAATAAATAAATAAAATAAAGGTATTGTGCCCATCTACAACTAAAAAAATAAAATAAAATAAATAATTATAAGAAACATTAGGTGAAACTGACATAAATTCTAATTGATGCAGTTTGCCACTTTTGAGGGCAATGCTTCAAGCAATAGAATATGAAACTGGACGTTAATTTTGTGGAGGAGATGAAGCTTTGAGGGATAAGGTTTCAGATAGTTTGATGGAAACCTGGAAACCTTTATCATGTTTAGTTAATTGTCTTCCATACCTTTCGAGGCTGCCCATGTCCCCATCAAGACTATAACTTCATGAAAAATTGTAAGAAAATCTTACTTTTCAAAAACCGTGTGTGTGTGTGTGTGTGTGTGTGTGTGTGTGTGTGTTTGCTTGAAGTACTGGGGATCAAAATGAGAGCTTTACACATTAGGCAAGCGCTCACCCATTGAGCTCCACCCTAAACCCTATTTATGGTATTTTTGAAAACCCAGATCTGATAGTTCTGATATCAGAATGAAATGGATTAGAGAAAGAGAAAAAAAGAAGAATGAGCTGAATTTTAAAAACTAAGGTATTTAGTCCTTGAGAAAAGAGTTAAAATATTAAAAATACTTGCTATATGGGCAAATAACATTCAACTAGAATATGGGTGTGGCAAATTTTTAGAAATGAAAGAGTTCCTATATTTTAAAATTGGGGGATTTAGTATTAAGTTCAGAACACTGACTTAGGAAAAATGTGGATATATTTTGTACCAATAAATAGTATCACTCAAGCCCTTTCAAATCTTTAAAGATAAAACATGAGGTACTCCAGAAATAAATTATAATTTTAATT